AGGTTTACTATCGAACATACTACTCAAATTAATGTAAAGAATTTATGAAAAATGCAGAAGGCATTTAGGATAAAAGAAGGCTGGACAATAACTGGGACCCTGCAGAGGAACAACGTGAGTTTTTAAAATAAATTTTAAAAGATACAAATATCTCAGATTTAAAATGTGTAATAGCTGTGGTATTTTTTTTAAAATAAGAGGCCAAAGAAGTGAGTGTACTGATCAGCCAAAAATCACCTGAAATTTACAAGCTGACCCATGAAGATCCACGAGTATTATGCAAACGTGTTAAGAAAGACATTTCAAAATCTTCACTAAGAGACTTATCTAAGTTGAGAAATCTGTTTGTATCCATGACTCTTTAATTAAGAAAGTGCCAGACTTAAGAATTTTCTTGTGTTCTTTTTCTCTAACAAGATGAAGTTGGAATTAGGCCTTTGCACTGCTCTGTGAGAATGAATTCATGGGTCATTATGCAGGGTAACGTGCTCACGGAGGACGATCCAGCACATAAAAGGTGCTCGGTACATCTTATCTCTTCCAAGGAGCTGTCCTCTTCTCCATGTCACCCACCTGCCACCCCGGGCATGGCCTGGACGGCCTGGTCATTGATAACCATGCTGCTTTTATAACCTCCACTTCCAGCCCCCAACTCTCCAACCATCTCTGACACCTGCCTGCTTCTAGGAATTCCCCCCAGTCTTCTCAAGTCCATGGAGGCTCCTGGACATTTCCCTGCCTTCACTCCCTTCCTATCCTCCTGCCCCTTCTTGGACTGGGATTCCCAGTTCATCAATAATCACTCCTTGGGCATCCGTCCCAACAGCCTTGCCCCAACTCTCACTGGCCAAACCCCCCTTCTGTTCCGCGCCCGTCCCCAAGCTGCCAGACATGGCTGGAGAAACCCCACTGTGCTGACTCATCCTCCGCACATTCAGAACCACCACGTGCCTATCTGGGGCCACCATGCCCACCTGTGCGCTGTAGCCCATCCCCTCCCTGCCTCATGGACTCTGCCTTCTAACCACTGCCTCCTCTCGCCTGCACCATCCACTTCTCCCCTCAGTGTACATTCCCAGTGTCCAACATACTCTTGCATTTCCCACTGTAAACCAACAAAACCCTGATCCCATTCCCTCTCCAGTTATTGTCTCATTTCTCTATTCTTCTTAAGGCAAAACTTCT